AGTGTTTCATGATTTCATTTCATTTTTATAGACACGGGGTCTCACCATGTTGCCCAGGCTGATCTCAAACTCCTGACCTCCAGCTAAAAATTTTTTTTTTTCTTTTTTGAGACAGTCTCACTCCGCCGCCAGGGGCCAGGCTGGAGTGCAGTTGAGCGATCTCGGCTCACTGCAACCTCCGCTTCCCTGGTTCAGGCAATTCTTCTGCCTCAGCCTCCCAAGTAGCTGGGACTAAAGGTGCGTGCCACCACGCCCAGCTAATTTTTGTATTTTTAGTAGAGACGGGGTTTCACCATGTTGGCCAGGATGGTCTCCATCTCTTGACCTCGTGATCCGCCCACCTCAGCCTCCCAAAGTGCTGGGATTACAGGCGTGAGCCACAGCGCATGGCTCAAGCTAAAATTTTTTAAATGACCCTCTCGGGTGGAAATTTTTAACATGCTGTGCACTAATTTAATTTGGAATAATACAAATAAGTGGAAAAATATATCATTTCATGAATATAATTAGGAAGATCAACTATTAAAAAAGATGACAATTCTCCCTAATACAGAGCTATAATACACTAACATTTAGAGTCCCCAAAGAAACGGCTACAAAAATTCACAAACTGGCAGTGAAATTCATGTCTATGCTCTAAATGAAATTAACTTTCCCTATCTTTTCCCTTTTATTCTTGCTCTATAATCTCCTGCTGTCATCATCAGCTACTATAGTTGTAACTACCATCTATATGCTTATAATTTGTAAATCTGTATCTCTACCTCAGAACTCTCCAGCAAGATCCATACTTCTATCAAGTATCACCTAATGAATATCTACAGCTGAATTCCTCATAGACACCTCAAACTCAACACAACAAAGCCATCTTTCCATGCTCCCCTAAACCTGATCTGCATCCAGAACTCACAATCTTCACAGTTTTCCAAGTCAGAAGCCATCCTACATCCCTTCTTCCCCTCATTAGATACCCCTGCCTTTAGCCTTCTTGTCTCTAATCTCTTTCAAATCTTAAGTGTTATCCCAGCTAAACATTTTTTAATGAGTCCCCACCAGCTTTCTCCCCTATGGCCTACAAAGTGCTTTCAAACTGTTAAGCATAAAATATTAATGACCTGGCCCTTAAACAGAAGCAGCAAAGTCACCCTTATAGAAAAGGGAAAAGAAGTCAATTTCATTCAGTGCAAAGATATAAATGATATCTACAACTACATCCCACTACTTCATTTTATTTTATATTCCTGTCGTATTCAACTGGAAGGGACTGTGTTAGGTATGTGGCATACATTATGTCATTATTTTACCTAGCTGACAAAAAAAGACACTGTATATCCACTACCAATCTTTATTAATTCCAAAACTCCATTCATACCCTATTTTAGATCACTGTCCCAACCATGACTAGGCTCTCTTGATCTGTATCTGACACTAATTATCTGGTTAGGCTTAAAAAATGACAAGAAAGATAAAGAAAACAATAATGGCAGCAATAGGAAATAGAGACACTGATTAGAATGGATGACAGAAGATACAGGTATTCTTTATCACCATATGTTCTGAAAATAGATATAAAGACTTTTTATAATAATATTGTCAATAACTCCCATCACTAGTAACTATTCACCAAAATACTCTTTAACAATACAGTTACACTACAAAATACCATTTAACAAAATTATTACCTGGCAATAAGCATAGTTTCCGAGAGCTTTATGAGCTTCATCAATAACTAGACATTTTATTTCAGCAGCGGGACAAGCTCCTCTAGAAAGGTCATTTACCATGACCTGAGGTGTAAGAAAAAGGACTCTCTTACTGCACCATATTTCCTTCCTGGTGAAAGCTTGTGTAGACCCTGGAAATAAAAGTGACATTCTACATTCTAAATTTCAGACTGTTATCCATAAAATATAAATAGCCTTTTCAGAATGCATACATGCTTTGGTAATCTGAAGAGGAAAACAGTTTGACAATCTATGGGAATGCTACAAATATCAAAGCAGGCACTTATCTAGGACTACAACCAAATTGTCTTTAGAGAATTCCAACAAAAAGGCATAATGTTTGAAGAGACGCAAACTCTTCAACTGAGAAATCTTTTTTCAGGAAGAATGCCAGGAAACATCATATTCAGTTACCCATGAGGTATACACATAATAGCTTCAATGACATTGAAGCTATTATGTGTATACCTCATGGGTAACTGAATACGAGGTATACACATAATAGCTTCAATACTACGACAAGCTGCAGATACTCTCTGAAGATTGAATAAAGCAATCCTATTCAGCAGTGTTGCACTTGCTACAAGTAGAGAATGTTTTAAGAGAGGGGGTGTTAAGATGCACGTATTGTATAGCTTGGGAACTATTCCACATGAGACAGGAATTCCTTTAGCTCTATTTCCACGGAAATGCATCTTTTCCCTGGAAACCCAGCTCTTACTTCAAATTAGTCCAGTTTAAGATACCTGTCATTTCGGCCATGTGGGATTGCGGGATACCCATCACCTGGTAGCAAGCCTCAATCTGCTGTGTCACCAAGGGTTTCGTTGGGGCCATGAAGACCACCTTTCCTGAAGGAAACCAGCGGTAAAAATTATACATGACCACGGCGGCAATAAACGTCTTTCCCAGTCCGGTAGGCAGACACACCAGCGTGTTGCAGAACAGAGCAGCCCGGGAGATTTGCAGCTGGTAGTCCCGCACCGGGCAGTTCGTAGGGTAAATCCACAGGGCGCCCGCGGAAGTGCAGAACCCGCCATTCTCTAGACTTAGCTGCTGCTCAGCCTCGTACACCGCAACAAGCAACACATCATCGTCCGACTCCGGCTCAGCATCCGCTGCAGCTGGCAAAGGCGCCTTGGAGCTGCCAGGGCTCTGAGGTCGCTCAGTTCCGGAGCTGCAACCCGGAGCCCCAGATGATCGGGAGATGCTTGAGCCCCACGTCTGAAAAAGCGTTCTTTGTCGTCCGTTCATTAGGTCGACAACCGCCAAAGGCTTCACTCAGATACCCGTAGCAGCAGCAGCTCAACCGCTACGGTTCGGATCCCCATCAGTTTCCTTAGCACAAAACTCGGGAACAAGAAGGAGGGACTACGGCCAGTTTATCCAGTTGAAAATACCGCCACAGAGTTTGCGTTGGAAATATGATTGGCTGGCTTCCCGGAAACTCTCTCAGCTCTTCCGGAGACGCATGCGCATTATAAGGCGTTACTCAAAATATGGTCCCTTGCAGTTCCGGTGTTTTGCTTTGTTTTAAGGGGCTCTAAATTTAAGTTCCGTTTCCAATGATTAGGTGTCTGGGCGTCATCGCTAACGTGGTAAATCACTTAAAATGTTATAAAAGAGATTTATTTAAAAATATTATATACCAGGGTACAATGAAATACTCATCAATTTGTGAATTTAATGTTATTGAGCCTCTAAAGTGCCTTATTCCTTGCAGTTTTTGTTTTTTTTTTTTTTGAGACGGAGTCTCACTCTGTCGCCCAGGCTGGAGTGCAATGGCGCGATCTCGGCTCACTACAGCCTCCGCCTCCTGGGATCAAGCGATTCTCCTGCCTCAGCCTCCCGAGTAGCTGGGATTACAGGCATGTGCCACCACGCCCGGCTAATTTTGTTTTTAGTAGAGACCGTTTTCACCATGTTGGTCAGGCTGGTCTAGAACTCCTGAGCTCAGGTGATTGGCCCACCGCGGCCTACCAAAGTGCTAAGATTACAGGCGTGAGCCACCGTGCCGGCTTATTTTTATATTTTCATTGTTTAAAGGGAAGTGAACGTGGTTTGGTCCAGCTCTTCGTCAGAATTTTTTTTTTTTTTTTTCGAGACGGAGTCTTGCTCTGTCGCCCAGGCTGGTGTGCAGTAAGTAGCACGATCTCGGCTCACTGAACCTCCGCCTTCCGGGTTCGAGCGATTCTCCTGCCTCAGCCTCCTGAGTAGCTGGTGTGATTACAGGTGCGCCCCATCACGGCCAGCTAATTTTTCTATTAGTAGAGACGGGGTCTTACTATGTTGGCCAGGCTGGTCTTGAATTCCTGACCTGGTGATCCGCCCTCCTCGGTCTTCCAAAGTGCTGGGATTATAGACGTGAGCCACCGCGCTCGGCCAGAATTTTTTTTCTTATGTAAGGAGTCCTGATGTTCAACTATTAAATCTTTATTACACATAAGAACATCATAATAAACGTTGGTGTGCAATTATTCCACTCTAATGAAGATTTCTCAGTCAATTCCTGACTTCTCTCTAAACCTGACAACTTTGAGTAACAGCTGTAAATTTCTTTCCTTGTGTACTGAGAAAAAATATATACATCACAGAGTTACGAGAATTAATAATGTCATTCTCATTAGCAAGTGACGTCCTAAGTGCAGCTTCTTTAGAAATTGTTTTATTTGTTCAAGTTTCTGAACTTCGTTTTAGACAAACTTTCTTGTGTCTGTATGTGGGGAAGGGGATGAGCAGTTTGTATTTAAGTTTCAGTTGTGTGATCTTTAAAAGGGAGATGGTGGCTGGGTACAGTGGCTCACGCCTGTAATCCCAGCACTTTGGGAGGCAGAGGCTGGCGGATCACGAGGTCAGGAGTTCGAGACCAGCCTGGCCAACATAGTGAAACCCTGTCTCTACTAAAAATACAAAAATTAGCCAGATGTGGTGGCGTGTGCCCGTGGTCGCAGCTACTTAGAAGGCTGAGGCAGGAGAATCTCTTGAACCCGAGGGGTGGAGGTTGCAGTGAGCCGAGATCAAGCCATTGCACTCCAGCCCCGACAACAGTGCGAAACTCCGTCTCAAAAAAACAAAAAGGGAAAGATGGTGTGGGTTTCTTGATCGACAAGGACTCAACCAGTTTAGATGTCAATTTTTAGGATAGAACTAGATAAAACGAGATGAGCCCATTCAGGGG